CCCTTGATCCATGTTCGCGATCGCCTGAATCTAAGAAGCCTTTCCCCCTCCCCCCCACCCATCGGTCGGAAGAGGTAGGTAGAAGCAGTAAGTAGGAAGGCGGACAGAGCAGATTGGGCCCGGGCCCGCCCAGAGAGCACCCAAACGCAGCAAAAGCATACCGATTCTTGAAGTAGGAAGGCGCCTGAAGCAGAGTGGGTTCTGGGAATCCCAAACAAAAAAACAGCAAAAAACAACTTCAACCGACCGATGGGTGCCCCCCTCCGCGCGCGGAAGCTCGGCCTTCTGCCCCACTCGTCCCCCCCTCATCGCCCCTGCCCTCTGCCGCAGACCGCCTCCCTGTCATGCGCCTCCTGCCCTTCCGTCGGGGCATTTCCTCCTACAGGCGGATTGTTGCAAGAAGAAGCAACATATACCCCAAAAACGGGAATAGCAAAACAACTCGTCCCCAGGCGATTTGTTTGATTATTGTTGAATCTTCCTCCTGTGGAGGGAGGGACAGGCTCGACTCAAGCCTACCCCCCCACACCACTCCTGCTGCCGTCCTTCCCCCCCTCCTTCCGACACACCGCCCGCCACCTCTCCTTCACCTCCTGCTGCCTGCTCCGCCCCCCCTCGCGTAGGCTGGGAACGTGAGGCGGAAGCGCGTGCGCTCCTCGAGAGAGGCTGGTCCTCCTCCTCCTCATCCGACGCCTCCTCCTTTTTACCCACCACTCCTCGTCGACCCTGGTCTCCTCCTCCTCCTCCTCCTCCCCCTCCTCTTCCTCTTCCTCCGCTCTGTTGTTCGTACTTCTCTCCTGGTCCTCGTCTTCGTTTTCATCATCATCCTGGCCCTTGTCGTCGTTCTCATCGTCGTAGTCCCCCTCCTCCTGCTCCTCCTCCCTTTCCTGCTCGGCCTCGCCCTCCTCCTCGTCGTTTCCCTGAAGTCCTCGTCATCACCTTCCTACTCCTCATCCTCCTCCTCCTCGTCTTCTTCTTCCTCCTTCTCCTCCTCCTCTTCCTCCTCCTCCTCCTTCTCCTCCTATGATTCCCCCTCCTCCTCCCACCCTTCCTCAAGGGCTGGGTGATTAGGCCCTGCCTGCCAGCACAGTACCAGCCTGCGCGTTCGCCGTAGCGCCGCCCCTATGGCAGGACGCAGGACGCGGGACTCCTCCTCCTCCTCCTCCTCCTCCTCCTCCTCCTCCTCCTCCTCCTCCTCCTCCTCTCCTCCTCCTCCTCCTCCTCCTCCTCCTCCTCCCCTTCCTCCTCCTCCTCCTCCGCCTCCTCCTTCTCCTCCTTCTCCTTTTCCTCCTCCTCCTCCTCCTCCATTTCTTCTCCTTCTAGAAAACTCCATGTCGAACCCCGAGGCCAAATTTTAGGGCGGATCGGGCGTCTCGCCTAAGACTTCCTCACCACGTATGGCTCTGAAACAAAAAAGTGACAGCAGTTTCACAGATGGAGGGCGGGTCGTTTTCAAACTGTAGCTCTCGCCTAAGCGCCGCGCGCATTCGCTCTAACAAAGTGCAAGAGTGTCACAGATGGAGGGCGGGTCGTTTTCAAAATGTGGCTCTCGCCTAAGCGCCGAGCGCAATCGGTGCTAAAAAATTGCAAAAGTGTTTCAAGGATTGAGGGCGGGTCGTTTTCAACATGTGGCTCTCGCCTAAGCGCCGCGCACATTCGCTCTAACGAATTGCAAGAGCTTCACAGATGGAGGGCGGGTCGTTTTCAAAATGTGGCTCTAGCCTAAGCGCCGGCTTTTTAAGACATTTCAAAAGTTTCACGGATTGAGGGCGGGTCGTTTTCAACATGTGGATCTCGCCTTAGCGCCGCGCACATTCGTTTTAAGAAATAGGAAGAGCTTCAAGAATTGAGGGTGGTTTCTTTTCAAAATATAGCTCTTGCCTTAGCGCCGCGCGCAATTGTTTTCAAACTTTGAAAGCATTTCACGGATTCACATGACCAGCGTACCAGAAATTATAATTTGGAAAATTCAGGGCTATCCGGGTGCAACAATTCTGCTGGTCCGCGGTGTTGAAGTCCTAACAATGGCGCTCTGGCACGATTCCGGATCGTCAAGACGCAGCAGTCAGGTTGATACGTGGCGTTGAAATCCCGAGAGCCATTTTTTGGCATGCTTAAGGATCTTCAAACGGTTGTCTTCTAACGAGGCAGTTCCCTCAATGGGGGCCTATGAAGAGGAAGCTTCAGGGACGGTGAATTCCAACATCGTTGATGACTCTTGGATTTACACTGCTCCTCCTCCTCCTCCTCCTCCTCCTCCTCCTCCTCCTCCTCCTCCTCCTCCTCCTCCTCCTCCTCCTCCTCCCTCTCCCTCTCCCCCTTCTCCTCCCCCTCCCCCTCCCCCAGGGCGCAGGCAAACTCACGTAGGTCGTGAATCGCGGGCCACGTCGAGCTGGTTAAGGGCCACTCCGCTCAATGGTGCGCCCTCCGGCGCCGCTCCTTCAGAAGCTGCAGGAGCCCTCACCGGCGACGATTTGTGGCCATCGGGCGGATCCCGCCCACGGGCACGAGTCCCCCGAGTTTTGGTGCGCGGCCTCAGGGCGTCGCGGGGGAGAGGTCCACGCACGTAGGCCAGGGGAGACCTTTCTGGACCCACACGAAAGGTCACTGCCGCGAGGGGTCACGCTCATGGTCGAGAATCACCCTTCCACCTTTCGAACAGAAGACCGACCGATCCAGCATTCCTATCGGCCTGCCACGAACTGTTCTTAGAAAAGGTGGCTGTTCTAGGAGCTGACTTTCCTTCAGAAAAAATTATCCTGGCGAAGGAACCAACCATATACAATTGTGAATAACGCTTTGTGGGTGCCGCTTTCGGTGGGGCTCCTTATGGGGCCACGAAAGGCGTGCCACGAAACGCTGTCCTGGGCGTACGGGACGCATGAGGGCGGTAGCACTGGAGCCTTCGGTGGAGCTCCCCATGGGGCCACGAAACGTGTGAGGGGTGTGCCGAAATGGGTGCGGCGTCGCCATGCGGACGCAGCCACTGGGGCCTTCGGTGAAGCTGCCTATGGGGCCACGAAACGTGTGAGGGGTGTGCCGAAATGGGTGCGGCGCCGCCATGTGGACGCGGCCACTGGGGCCTTCGGTGGAGCTCCCTATGGGACCACGAAACGTGTGAGGGGTGGGAGGAGGGAGGAGGGAGGAGGCGGAGGAGGAGGAAGGAAGGAAGGAGAGGAGACGCGGGGCACCGTCTCTTCAAAACGAGGACCCAACACCACAGGATGGTTGGGAAAACAAACATCCAGCCGATGGATTGAAAACAAGACGGTCACAACAAGACACGTTCTGGTAACGCTTCGCGCACACCAGGACAGGTCCTTGTAACATTCTTTGGTGGGCCTATAGGCAAGCCACGACGCCTTACCACTACTTGAACCGCAGCGCGGCCTGTTAACGATCTCCCGCCATCTGCTGGCGGTCGTGGGTGGGCAGCTGGCGCTCTCAGAGGAACCAGTGGTGGCAAAACACAACCCTTTGAAGGTCCGCTCGGATGATGACTTGGATCCGCAAGGGGCGCGTGGCCAGCTTCTAGACTGCTGCGCAAGAATCGATGAGCCAGACACACGAAGGGATCAACTCGTGGCGGGGGGTCTGGGCAGCAGGGCCATCGGCTGCACGCAGGTGCACAAACTGGTCATGAGGGGTAGCTGGATTGATCTCGGGTGGGAGTGGATGGGTGGACCTAGGACTTCTGGGCGTCACGACGGACATCACGTCGAGAAAGTGGGGTAATCGAAGTGGCGCAGGAGGGAATGGGAAGGACGAGAGAAGACGAACGAACACCGTACACCCATACCCATGAGGCGGGACGGATTGGGCTATGGGTGTTTGTTGTTCGGATTGGGCTATGGGTGCTTGTTGTCGGATGGGGGTCCCCGCTCGAACGGGAACATGCCCTGGGGTCCAACAATTCGCACCCATACCCATAGCCAACCCTCCTTGTTCCGAACCCGCTATCGGTATGGGTGCGTGTTGTTCGTGCGTCAGGAGAGAGGACGGGAGGAATTCTGGAAGATAGAGAAGGAACTGCAGATGAGACGGGGAGAGAGACACGGAGACGGCAGGACTCGGCCCGACTGGGTAAGGAAGGGGGAACATTGAGGGAGGAGGAGAGGACTGGGGAGGAGAGGAGTGGAGCAGGCAGGACTGGGGCGGAGCGGGCAGGAGGCCTGAGGGGTGGAGAGGACTAAGGGAGCAGGGAGGTCGTGCGGGGAGGAGTGGAGCGGAGCGGGGAAGCGTGGGCAGGCGTGAGTGGCCTGGGAATGGCGGGGAGGAGTGTGGAAATCGTGCGACGGAGTGTGGAGCAGCGGAGCGGGCGGGGTGGGGGGAGTGCAGCGGGGCTGGGAGGAGCGGGGAGAACGGGAAGGAGTGCAGAGGAGCGAGGAGGGGGATGACTTGGGAGGAGTGTGGAGGAGTGGGGGCGGGTGGATTTGACACAGAATGAGCGGGGAAGAGTGATGAGGAGTGGCGAAGATAGGTGGAAAGAGGTTTGAAATGCCTCTGGTCTGATGCGTGGTTTACTTGAGCCTCCATGAAGCTCTCTTGCGCCGTCTTGTGGTGCTCTCTGGCGAGCCCTTTGAGGCACGTGGAGGCCGTCCTGGGAGGTTATGGTTGCGCGGCTTACTCTTACCTGTGCAAATAGTATACGTATTGTTAATAGTAACACGATTCGCATCCGTATGTTAAGCCTGTGTGTCATTATCAGTAGTATCCCGATTACTAGTAGTAATATTATATGGTATGGTTGTTATTCGTACTACTATTATTAGTCTTTTTCGCAGTATTCGTACGCTTCGTATGCTTATGGCATTATCATCAAGAGTATTGATACTTCTAGTATTAGTACCATTAATAGTACTGTTACCTTTGTTACTAGTAGTACGACTACTACTATAGTTATTACTACAACTACTGGTATTACTAGCACGCAATTTCGTAGCAATCGTACCAGTCGTATTATCACGATGATTAATGTAATTATGTATCGTCTTCGTTTGTTTCTTCTATTCGCATCATTCTTCTTTTTCCATACAGACTCTTCGAACACGCTCCTCCTCTTGCTCGGATCGGAAGAGGCGTTCTGGAGTGCCTTCGATCTAAGAATTAGAATTCCACCAAGCCACCATTGGACCCTTTGGACCCGGAAGCGAGAAAAAATGCCCCAGGAGCGGAGACAAACTATTGATGGGCAGACGCACGCGCGTAGCTTTGCACGGTGCCGCCCCTGGTTGGCCACGGCGCCATGGCAGGATCAGTCAGGATCGAATCGGGAAGTCGGATCGGCGAATCGGATCGTTCATGAGAGGCCGACTCTCCACCACCACTACCATATCCAGGAGAGGGAGGAGGAGGAGGAGAAGGAGGAGGAAGACCTAGAACGCAACAGGCATCACACCCAATCTCAGTCTAACGTAAATGGAGGAGGACCTCCCCATGCTCAGTTCTCCTCCGTCCTCCCTGTGGCACTGGTGGTGGAGAATGGGCCCATCACATCCATTGGAACATGCCCTGCATGGCGCCGCGACCGTACGCATGTAAGCCTGCGATTGCGCGCGCTCTCAGCCTCTGCTGGCGAGACGCACCGCGCGCCGCGGGGCGGCAGCTGACCCGCCGCCGCCGCGGCCGCCGGCTTGAACACCGCGTCTGATCGCCAGGGTCTCTGGGTCGCTGGGCCGGCCTCGCCGGAGAGGTCGCCGGGGAGTCGAGAAGCCCAGCGGTTTTGGCCCGCTCCAGAAGGCTCAGATCCAGAGGTGCTCCGGCATCTCTGAAGTGCTGATTCGTTCCGCCATCCGTGACTGCACTGAGAGAGTCCCCTAGCAGGTGTGGAAAAATTCGGCGAAAGACCCGGGCGATGTCGGTAGCCGGCTGGGTTCCCGGGTTCCCGGGTTCCCGGTTCCTGGTTCTGGGCCGATTTCCAGATCCCACGATCGAGCTCATCATCGATCACAGATCGTCCAAAACCAGCCACTGATTGGGTATTTTCTCTGGTGTAACTATATTTCCCGTAACGGCGGTTACCCTGGGGGGGCGGGTCACGTTAACGCTTGGGCAGGGTGGGGCACGTCGGGACGGGGGTGCACTGCGATCGCCGCCGAAGTATGCGCGCGAGCACCAGCATGCCAAAAAAACCCACCCAGCCCGACTGACGATTGTTACCGTTACCTAGGGGGGGGAGTTGGCCCGGGTAACGACTGTGACGAGCCGGGGGATCACACTTAAACGCTCTCTCTCTTGGGCTCTGCCTCCTGCTGGCGAGGAAGAGGGGAGAACCTCTCGATACCTCAAGGACGAAAGCCTTCCTGGAGCGCCCAAGATGGTGCTGAGCCCTACCCTTACAGTCTAGGCGGGCGCAAATTAGCATTGGCCACAACTGCATGATTGGAAACTTTCGGAGCTCCGCGCGGATTTCTCGGATCCCCGCTGGACTCCTGGGCCCTCTCTGGCGAGCGGGCCGCTCCCGAGGCGGCGCCGGAGGCGCCGCGAGGCGGGCCCAGCTCCGATCCAAGAGCTCCGCGCGGAGCTCAGAAGGTTTATGCTTTTGCAGTTGTTGCACCTTCGAATTTCCAGGTCTTGGAGCCCCTTCTGGGGCTTCGGAGCTTGCAGGGCAAGGCGGCCACGCGGCGGGCAAAGCTGTCCAGGGCCGCCGCCCAACAAAGCCCAAGGCTGGCAGGCAATCCCCGAGAGGCTGTGGCCTCATGGTCTAAATGCAGCTGATGCTGTGATGGGAAACATCTGGAGGCCTGGGAATGGGCACCAACACCAACACAGGGGGTTCGCCCACACAGGGGGAAGACCATCCTCGATGTCAGTGTTGGTGGCACTAATCTTTCGGCCACCTGGGAAGCCCGAACATTACCACCATCCCCGAGGTCGGGATCACGTTTCCTCGGTGGAGGCACACCGCCGAGATTGGTGCTGGTGCCAACCTCCAGGCATCCGAAACATCAGGGGGGGGCGGCTCGGGGGGGGGGGACGCATTGCTTGGGCATCCGCGGTGTGCCGCAGAGACAGGTCGGCGACAGGCGCCCCGGAAGCAGATCCGAACGCCTCCGGGGCGGGGAGGGGGCTGTCAGGCCACGGCGATCAATGGGCGCCTGGGGGGGGGGGGCGATGCATTCTTCAACCCCCGGCCAGAGCCGATCCCCTCCTAACGCGAAAGGGTCTCAGCTTTCGGGTCAGAACTCGGGCCTCTGGCGATCGTCAGGGACGACCCTGGCAGCTTGGCGCCCCCCCAGAACGTCCTCGGCGTGGCGCAGCTGCTGGCAGGCAGCCCGAGGAACCAACGAGAACTCCCGAAAACCTCAGAACTTAGCTGCCCCGAAAGGCAACACGCGACACGTAGCGTGCCGACACGGATTTCAACACGCAGACTGACACCGTAGGACGCCGTAGGCCTGGCGCGGTACGTTCGCCAAGACGTGGACCAACACACGTCGCACCAACACGCAGCGTGTCAGCACGGACGTTTAGAGCACGGCACGTGTTGCGTTTCACAAGGGGCGTGTCAGGGCAGCCAAGCCTCAGAGCCTCGAGTGCTGCCCCTGCATGCTTGCCTTCCGTCCCACGCCGCGCGGCTGCTCCTGCGGAGGCGCCCGCCGGTGCAGCTGCTCCTGCAGAGGCCTCCCCGATGCGGTCGGCCCAGCTGGGGCCGGAGGATCTCGCCGCATCGCCGAGACATCAGAGCAGATGGGGTCGGAGCAGATTAACTACCTACCAGACCACCCCATCCGAACCCGAAGACATGAATTTCGGGTTGGGGGGGCTACGGGCTTCAGATGTGCTTCTTCAATGTTCCCACTCACCCCCCCCTTACAGAAAACGGAGGGCAAATCGGAGCCTTCGGGTTGGGTTGGGGTGGTTTGGTGGGCGGTGACAGGTGGGGTCGGAGCAGATTGGGTCGTCGGGTGCATCGTCGATGAATCGCATCGGCGACGTCGGCGCCGAGAAAAGCGGGCTCCAGATTCGGCCAGGATATGAGATCCTCCGACACCATCTGCTGGAGGCGTGGAAGTGAGCACCAACACCAACTCAGGGGGCTCACCTTCACTTAGGGAAGATGATCTTCGATTTCAGTGTTGGTGGTAATCCTTCGGCCACTTAGGAAGCCCAGACCCCATCTGCTCGGACCCCGTCTGGCGGAATTCGGAAACCCTGAACCCCAAAACGCTCTCATCTCTTGGGGACGCATCGTGTACTTCCGCCGCCTCCCGCCAGCCTTCCGCCAGCGTCCGCCAGCGGAGCCGCCGCCGATTTACTTCCGCAGGCCTTCCGCCGCGGAAGAGATTGCAACTCCTTCCGTCCTCGAAGGGAAGGCCCTTGTTTTAATTCGCCGGCCCAACGGGCCAGAGGCGTGCTAAGATCTCCGGTAACTGGTTAACAATAAATCTATACTTCGCGCGCGCGGAACGTTCCCTGGGGGTCCCCGGCCGGAAAGTACCCCGGCAAGGTCCCGGGACACTCCCGGCAAACTCGGGTCAGAGATGGTTTTCCTCCTGGGTGCAGCCTTCCACGCTCCCCGGAGCGCGCCAGAGTGCCCCAACAGGAATCCAAGACGGTCCAAGGGGGTTCCGAATCACCGAACGATCGGCCCAAGACGCCCAACACGGCCTCAAGACGGCCCAAGAAGCTTCCAAGACGTCCCAAGAGAGCCCCGACCCTTTCCAAGAGAGCCCCAAAAGGCCAAAATCATTGATTTCCATTGGTTTTCCAACGTTTTTGGCTTCCTCGCCTTTCCGCGTTTCCGACGCTCCAAGACGGCCCAAGAAGCCTCCAAGACCACCCCAAAACGGCCCAAGGGGCCTCCAAGAGAGCCCCAAGACAGCCCAAGAGGGCCCCACGACAGCCCAAGAGGCGCCCAACACGGTCCAAAAGGACCCCAAGAGGCCCCAAGAGAGGCCCAAGATGGAGACCACGAACCGAAAATCCGAGCCTTCCGCTCCAAGAGGCCTCCTGGAGGCTCCAAGAGGCCCCCAAGAGGCCCCAACAAGCGACAAGGGGCCCGAAAGAGACTCCAAGAGGCTCGAAAACGACTCCCGAGAGTACCAAAGAAGCCCTCGAGAGGCATCCAACGAGATCCCAATGAACGTCCACGAAGCCTCAGAGCGCCAAAACCATTGATTTCCATTGGGTTTTGCAAGGTTGTTTGCCTCCTCGCCTTTTCGCGTTTCCGACGCTCCAAGACGGCCCAAGAAGCTTCCAAGACCACCCCAAAACGGCCCAAGAGGCTTCCAAGAGAGCCCCACGACCATCCAAGAGGGCCCCACGACAGCCCAAGAGGCGCCCAACACGGTCCAAAAGGACCCCAAGAGGCCCCAAGAGAGGCCCAAGATGGAGACCACGAACCGAAAATCCGACCGAGCATTCCGCTCCAAGAGGCCTCCTGGACGCCCCAAGAGGCTCCTAAGAGGCCCCAGGAAGCGACAAGGCGCCCGAAAGAGACCCCAAGAGGTTCGAAAACGACTCCCGAGAGTCTCCAAGAACACCCTCGAGATGCATCCCACGAGATCCCAATGAACGTCCACGAAGCCTCAGAGCGCCAAAACCATTGATTCCCTTTGGGTTTTGCAAGGTTGTTTGCCTCCTCGCCTTTTCGCGTTTCCGACGCTCCGAGACGGCCCAAGAAGCCGCCTAGGCTCCCCCAGAACGGCCCAAAAGGCCTCCAAGAGAGCCCCACGACCGTCCAAGAGGGCCCCACGACAGCCCAAGAGGCGCCCAACACGGTCCAAAAGGACTCCAAAAGGGGCCCAAGAGGGGCCCAACATGGAGACAAAAAGCCTCCAGGACCACCCCAAGACGGCCCAAGAAACCTCCAAGAGAGCCCCGAGACCGCCCAAGAGGGCCCCACGACAGCCCAAGAGGCGCCTAACACGGTTCAAGAAGACCCTAAGAGGGCCCAAGATGGAAACCACGAACCAAAAATCCGAGCCTTCCGCCCCAAGAGGCCTCCTGGACGCCCCAAAAGGCTCCTAAGAGGCCCCAGGAAGCGACAAGGAACCCGAAAGAGACTCCAAGAGGCTCGAAAACGACTCCCGAGAGTCTCCAAGAAGAAGCTCTCGAGAGGCATCCCACGAGATCCCAATGAACGTCCACGAAGCCTCAGAGACCCCACCCAGGCACGGTGGCGAATGTGACAAAGGAAATTAGATAAAACCAGCCGCCGACCCTGCAGCTCCGCACCGCTCCAAGAGGCCTCCTGGACACACTCGAAAACAACTCCCGAGAGTCGTGGACTCTCGAGAGGCATCCCACGAGATCCCAATGAAAGTCCCCCTCCACCTCCGCCTCCTCCTCCCCCTCCTCCTCCACCTCCTCCTCCTCCTATCCCCCCTCCTCCTCCTCCTCCTCCTCCTCCTCCTCCTCCTCCTCCTCCTCCTCCTCTGCCACTCGCCTTTTCCACGCTCGCGCTTCTACCCTGCTACCCCCAAAACCCCGCCCCCCCTCACACACGACGACACATAGCAGCGGAGGGATGAAGTAGAGAAGAAAAGGAAACTGCAGAATGTTGTCTTGTTCCCTGCGATCGTATTCACGAGCCGCCACCTTCCGAAACAGAAGGTTCAGGCGGGCAAAGAATGGTTCCCGCCTGCGAAATCACCCAAAGCCAGCCATCCATAAACAAAAAAACGGCCCAGCAGCACCCCATTGACAACGATCACACGGGCACTCGACAGCCGTGCACTAATACGGGCCGGCGGAATGAGCGAAGCGATTAAATAACCAAACAGAGAAACCCCAAGCCTTTGGGAGGGGAACTAAGTTAGGAGGGCCAGAAACATTAGAGATAGGGGGTCTTTCCTGCAGGTGCACCAGGCCAAGCCGCCCAGACTCATCATCCCTGATGTGAGGACGGGGGCCTCAGCGAGGCCACGTCTTCCTCGTGCTACTGGGGTCAGGGGCCCCTTTGTTCTCCATGATTGTTGGAGCGCCCCATCTGAGAGACCCAGATCCAGGCGTGGACCAGGCCTCCGCGGGCGAGAAACGCGCGCGCCTCACGCCTCCTCGACGCGCCCGTGCTCGACCAGCGGCTCGGCTGCCTCCCCACTCGACGGCGCGAGCGCCTGCTCCGGCCCGCCCCGCACGCGCCAGCGCACCTCGGGCAGGGCCCGAGAGAGCAATGCGGCGACAAGCCCAGACGCCCTCGCGTTGTGAACAAATCACGACAAGAGATTTTCCGCTATCTTGGCCCTCTGGGGGTCCCTGCCGGGCCTCGGGACCGTCACGAAACGACTCAGGATGAAAGACCGGTCCCGGGGAAGGGGTCCAGACCTCTGGGGGTGGGCGCTGTGAAGAAGTCACGACGTCGGGTGTCTGGGAACCGCGCGGCGACCTCGGGACCCCGAGAGACCTCACCGCACCTCCGCGACTGAGCAGCGATGAGCCGATGCCTACCCCCACTGGCGTGGCCTGGGCCCCCCTTGGCCGATGTACCCCCCTGGATGGGGATAGAGGCTGTGCCCCTCGGGTTTCGAGGGGCACATCCCAGACTGGAAGGGCGGGATGGTGGGGCTGAGGTATATCATGACCCAGAGGGGATGGGTTAAACGGCACTGAGCGGCGAAAGGAACGGGTCTTCAGCAAGATGGCGTAGCGACCTTACGCGGTGGCTTACTCGGGCCGCCAGCGTAGCACGCCACATTTGGAAACGAGGGCGCTAGTAGCTTCTTACGCACGAGTCTCCCGGCTACCGAACCCATCACTGCTCGCGTCGCTGACCCGTCACTGCTCGGAGTTTGAGACGGAGGTCCCAGCCGCCCAAGACATCCTCGCAGAGCGACCCAGGACCCAAAGCCGCGTGGTGGACCCCGACCCCCACTGAACCACCCCACTAGGAGAGCACCTTTTGAGCAGGGACCGACCGTCCGGGCAGTCCTGTAGGGCCCACCACGACATGTTCTTAGAACCCACACATGTTCTACTAACAAAACAAAGTGCGTAGAACATAACCCCGAAGTGTTAACACAAAACAGTTTCAGCCAGAAATGTTCTAAGAACATTTCGAAGAAACCACACAAAGACTTAGAACATTGTTTGGTGAGCTTATAGGCACGCTAGGACGCTTCGTCATTGCTTGAACCTTGAGACAACGGCAGCTCAAATCGGTCCCCTGACCTCTCCCGGCGTCCGAACGCACCAATTTCCCGAGCTGCATCCGGCCGTGGCGACGAGGGCCCACCCCCGCCCCCGAAAACTAACTACCACTGTGTCAACTCGCCCTGCCCTGACATTACGCCACGAAAACATACACACAGATCAGAGTGAGGGGGCCAAACGGTCATTAATTGTCCCTGGGTGCGTGGTTCCCTAGTGAGAATTCTGCTTGTTGCATTGTTGTTGTTTATGTTGTTGTTGTTGCAATTGTTGTTGTTGTTGTTGTCCCACCCGCGACCCATCCGCGACCCACCCCGCGACCCACCCCGCGAACCACCCCGCGACCCACCCGCGACCCAACCCGCGACCCACCCGCAACCCACCCCGCGACCCACCCGCGACCCACCCGCGACCCACCCCGCGACCAACCCGCGACCAACCCCGCGACCCATCCGCGACCCACCCGCGACCCACCCGCGACACACCCCGCGACCCACCCGCGACCCACCCGCGACCCACCCTGCGACCCACCCTGAAGGGAGGAGACCACCCGGACCCGAGAATTGACGTTTACTGAACGGCCTTGGGCGTTTACTCAACAGCCCTGCCCTGTTCGATTCATTCCTTGTGTGCGTTTACTAAACGGCTTCGCTTGTCGGGGTGATTGTCATGGGGGGGATTTTCTGCCCTCTACACCCGCGACCCACCCGCGACCGTTTTGCGACCTACCCACATTGGTTTAACGAAAATCGTCGCCTGCGGCGGGCTCGTTGCATAACTTGTGAAACTTTGGCGCCTGCGGCGGGCTTTTCCAGAGTCTCGCAAACTGCCGACGTCCCCGCCCGCCCCTCACTCTTATCCGCATCTGAAGGGTGATACGTATAGGTGCACTCCAACGAATCTTGCATGTACCCTCAGGGAGGACGCCGGTGTATAAAGTCGCTGCCTGTCAGTGGTGATGTATACACATCGCTACCATCCCCTCAGGCTCAGGAACAATCCATTGAAGGGTGTCTGTGTATATTTTTGGGTGGCAGAGACATCGGGGGCGAAACACACATCCGTATCCGCAGCCTCACGGTCCGGGCCCCTGAGCCGCGACCCCGCGGCTATGGGGCGTTCGTTCGCGGATGCCCCGCGAAAAACGTGACGAGGAAAATCCTGGAGGCCTCGCGCGGCAACTTGAAACCTGATTCACGTCGGATCCACGTCGGATCTACGTCGGGTTCACGCCGGGCTACGTCGGAATTGCGTCGGATTCACGTCGGGCTGACTCCCGAGCATCGCCGCGCAAGCGTCGACCCACAACTGACGGAGCCGACGTGTGGACTAGATCACACCACTGTTACGCGCCGCGCGAGGCCTCCAGGATTTTCCTCCTCAGGAACGCCTCCGTGCGACCGCGCATCCGCTGGCCCGCGGCCCGGACCCCCGACCGCCGAAGGGCGGGTACGGGCCGAGTCCTCGTGCTGCCAGAAGGGGGAGGGCCTGTTCTGGCCACGGCGGGCCCAGGCCACCTGAGCAGGCTCCACGACGCAGGGCTGCCTCGGGAGCGGCCCGAAAAAACCGGGTGTTGTTGCTTTTTTAAGTTTGAAAAAGAGCTTCGTAAGCAGAAACTGTTGGGGCTCCGCGCAGAATGCTTGGATCGGCGCCGGGCCCCCCTCCCAGGCGCGCGGAGCGGGCCACGGGCGGCGCCGGAGGCGCCTCCAGGGGGTGGGGGGTGGGGCCCAGCGCGGCTCAAAGAAATCTGCGCGGAGCGCCAAAAGTTTACGTTTCGGCGGTTTTCTCTCCTACGATCTCCTGAGACCAAGGCGACCCTGACCTCAGCGTCTTGACTGCATACTCGCCGCTGGTGAGGGCACGCGGTGCCGTCACTGCACCGCTTGGCGGGCCGCGAGCGAGGGGGAGAAGTGAGAAGGAGAAGGCCTTCGCAGACGGCTCGGACGTCTCCTGGCCTTCTGAGAAATCTTCTTAGCCTTCCCCGAAGACGCAGGCAACTTCTCTGCGGGCGCGAAGGCTTCTGAGAAGTCCTATGAATCCAACTGCTCTCAGAACCCAGGCCGATGTGGACGGATGGATGCGATACTCGGAGGTTGATATGACAAACCTAACGCACAGAGGTGTCTAGTACCCAAATGGCTGTGGACACAAACACAACTATACAAACCCCTTGGCACTCATACGAACAAACTCACATACTTAAAGAGCACATGCGTTAGCATTCCAGACTGAAAATCGTCAGACCACCCAATTTTCTTGATCTTCAAGGTGGTTGTGCACAGGGAACTGAGACCTGTCCACTGAAACGCACTCTCGGCCCACGTTGGGGGAAACACTAGCACAGACACGCCTGACCTTCCACAGCCTGGAAGATTCCTTATAGAGCACTGAGCATGCTGACGAGAGAGAGAGAGAGAGAGAGAAAGAAAGAGAAAGAAAGAGAAAAAGAGAGACCACCAACCTCCAACCACCGGGGAAGGGACCGGGGGTTCGTGGTCGATCTTTCTAGGCCTCCGGGCTGTCTTCTCTGTAGCCTCTCCATGTAGGCGTCCTAGAAGTCGCTCGGAGTACGTCCGAGATCTGTCCCTTCCAGCCGCCCGATCTCCTCTATCCTTCACGCTCTCCTCCCCATTCGCGAGACGCAGCGTACCCGAGGAAGGACATCATCTTGAACTGGGCTATGTTGCCCTTCTGGATATCCGACTTTGTGGGAGAGTCCACGGGCATGGCTGGATGAGGAACCCATCTTATCCGGCTACCCACCCTCGTCATCACTGACCTGATAACTGATAACTGCCAGGTCGATAGCCTTTGAGCCGATCATCTCTTTATCAAGAGTGTCGAAGATTCCCTTTGCGTCGACTATATTAGCATTGTTCAGAGGGCAACGTTAAGCTTGCAGTCGCGTCTGAGAACTGCGGTGAACGGGCCCACCTCCTCCCTCCAGTGCTCGGTCAAGAGCGGGCCCCGGGTCACATCTAGGAACGACATTTGCAACCACTCAGCCTCTGCCACCGCTCCCAATGACGCCAAGACTTCCCCCAAGGGTGGACGGGACCTGCCTCCGGACCCTGCTGGACCGCCACGCGATGGGAGCGGCCCTGGAGAATTTTCCATCCTGAATGGAAGCACCCGCGGCAAAGACCTGCCGCGCCTGCTGAACCTTATTGCTATCGAGACCCCCGGCCCCTCCGCAGTCTCTCGCGGCGGCGAAAACTATTCTCCCTGGACGAAAGGGCCACGCAATCACCGGGACCTGGGCAGTATTCCTCAAGTGGTCGACCATGCGGTTGGCCTCCAGGACATCCCCAATACACGCCTGAGTACATGGAGGCAGCGCCCGCTGCCTCGGCGCGCGACTCCCGTCCGACCCAGTTCAGCTCGTACATTAACGACCTGAACTGTTCGAACTCGTGGGGGAGCAAAAATTTTGAGTGATTAGAACGCCGGTCCCTGGGAAACTCAACCTTGTGGAGGTTCTCGAGAATGTACTTCTCCTGATCAATCAACACCTGGTCTGGCATCATGCGGATCGCACGGCCGATGAAATCTGCCCCCTGCTGGTCAACCTTCCGGAGTTTAAACCTTCAGCCGCTCCTCGGCCACATCAGGGGACAGAGCAATGAGCCAATCATCCACCTCGCCCAGGACCTGGGACCGAAGCTTCTCCATCCCGCCCATAGAACCAGCGCGGCTCCATGCTAGCCTTCTGGCAACCCTGCTAGGTCATGAAGTCATGAGTAGTCTCGCGCAGGGCATGGGGAGCGTCGTCCAATCCGTAGACGGGGGCAATGAGCTCCATCGTGGAACCTGGGGGAAGCCTTAAGCCATCACATGGCTCAACAAACGCTCGACCCCAGGGCCGCTGCAACTTGCCACTCTGACAGAAGGCGTTCTTCAGATCTCCCGCGTACAGATCCAGCCCAACGCCATGCATGAGGGACACGATTAAAAACAACATGAGAGACTCCATCTGCGGAGTTGGTGCGTGCACTTTCAGCTC